GTTAGTTTGGCAATTCTCCTGCCTCAGCCTCCCAAGTAGCTGGGGTTACAGACACCCGCTAATTTTTTACCATGCCTGGCTAATTTTTTCTTTTCTTTTCTTTTCTTTTCTTTTCTTTTTTTTTTTTTGAGACAGAGTCTCGCTCTGTCGCCCAGGCTGGAGTGCAGTGACGTGATCTCGGCTCACTGTAACCTCCGCCTCCCAGGTTCACACCATTCTCCTGCCTCAGCCTTTGGAGTAGCTGGGATTACAGGCACCTGCCACCACACCCGGCTAATTTTTTTGTATTTTTAGTAGAGAAGGGGTTTCATCGTGTTAGCCAGGATGGTCTTGATCTCCTGACCTCCTGATCCACCCGCCTCAGCCTCCCAAAGTGCTGGGATTACAAGCGTGAGCCATGGCACCCGGCCCACACACTGTTGTTTGTTGACATCTCTGCATCCTTGGAGAATATTCTCTCTCCTTTCCCTACACTTGTAAGTGCCTCTGTGCTTGTGGTTTATATAAAGTTATCATGCCATGTGTATTGCTCTGCTTTATTTTACAGAACAACAGCACATCTTGGAGGATTTTCCACATTAGAACACGCTGTACCCAGTTCTTTATCTGCTGTGTGGTACTGCAGAGCATGGACACGCTACACTGTGTTTTATTATGCCCACCCCCAGCCACATACAGTTATTTGTTTTAGGGTCACAGATAACCCTGCAGGGACAGGCCTCTTCGTGCCTGGGAGTGAGTGATTCTCTAGTGGCACCACTAGGGTCACACGCTGTTTTTAAGTTTTGGCAGAAACTCCAACAAACTGTCCCCCTGGAGTAGCCATATCAAAGTACTGTCCTGGGACCAGGCGCAGTGGCTCACACCTGTAATCCTAGCACTTTAGAAGGCTGAGGTGGGTGGATCATGAGGTCAGGAGTTCGAGACCAGTGTGGCCAACGTGGTGAGACCTTGTCTCTACTAAAGATACAAAAAAAAAAAAAAAATTAGGTGCGGGGGCATGCATCTGTCATCCCAGCTACTCGGGAGGCTGAGGCAGGAGAATCGCTTGAATCCAGGAGGTGGAGGTTGCAGTGAGCTGAGACTGCACCATTACACTCCAGCCTGGGCAACAGGGCAAGACTCCATCTCAAAAAACAAAACAAAACAAAACAAAACACCCACAAAGTACTCTTCTGGGAGAGGACCCTGGCTCCCCATTGGGGATTTCTGCAGCATCTAGGCCGCCCTGGGGTGTATCCCCATCAGACAGCCTGGGTGCTAGTGAAGCTCCTGTGACAACTCCTTACAGGATCCTGGGCTAGTCACTTTCCGTCTTGCAGCCTGAGTTCATCTTCACCGGGTTGTTTTGTTGTGAAGGCAAAAAATGGGATAAAGGATGGAGCAAGTCTAACTTGAGGACCTCCGTAAATGTGAATTCCTGCACCTGCAGGGCTGGCCTCTGTGCGTGGTCTTCTACCTGGCCCCTAGCCCTTTATCATGGGGCAATCCCACTGGTCCCTAACAGCAGCTGGCATTATTGCCAGGCCCACAGAAGTGCAGGACTGGGTGAAGGGTGGGTTTGGCCTGCAGGATCTGTTAACTTTGGAGAGACAGCCCATCTCTCACCTCTCTGTCCTGGAGAACATGGAAGGTTGTCTCCTACCACAAGGGAGAAAGTTCTGTGGCTGGTCGGAAAAGGGACCTGGCTTGGTCTCCCTACCCCCACCCCTGGCCCCACACTGTGATGGTGCTATGCAGTCCCCTGCCAGGACCACCAATGCCCTGCTGCCACCGCATGCTTTGCTAAGACTATGTGAGACTGCAGGGTCATTTATCAGCCCACTAGACCAAGGGGATAGAGTGGTGATTAAGATGGACAAGGTCAGCCAGGCGCAATGGCTCATGCTTGTAATCTCAGCACTTTGGGGGCGAGGTAGGTGGATCACTTGAGGTCAGGAGTTCGAGACCAGCCTGGCCAACACGATGAAACCTCATCTCTGTTAAAAATACAAAAATTTGGCCGGGTGCGGTGGCTTAAGCCTGTAATCCCAGCACTTTGGGAGGCCGAGACGGGTGGATCACAAGGTCAGGAGATCGAGACCATCCTGATGAACACAGTGAAACCCTGTCTCTACTAAAAAAATACAAAAAACTAGCCGGGCGAGGTGGCGGGCGCCTGTAGTCCCAGCTACTTGGGAGGCTGAGGCAGGAGAATGGCATAAACCCG